CCTCCTGTGATGCTTCAAAATGTCCTCTGCTTTTATGTTTCTGGCCTTTAGCACAGAATCACATCTCTGTTTACCAGACCACTCCTTCTCACTTTCTAAAGTCCTCATGGGCGATAACTGTTCTTTTGTTTTCTTTAGTAGCACCTGGGCTAGGTGTTTCTCTTCAGCCACTGGGCACATTAAACTCTCAACCCTTATGGTACCATTCTGCCTTGTAATTCTACACTACAATCTGTCCCCTGCCTCCAGGTATCCAGTCTGTGAGCTCCTAGAAACCAGAAGCTCCGTCTCAACATTCATTCATTGCATGACAGGGCTCAGGACTGTGCTTCCCACAGTTAGCCAGGTTAGCGAATGTTTTCCTTGTCCATGCGTTCCTTCTTTGTGACCGTTTACTGCCACCTACTGGCAAATCACCGTAATAACTCACATCGACAACTTTGATGATACGGGTCACTGTGTGGATAGTCGACCTGCAGGACTGACCGCCTAGAACTTGATTCCAACCTGGAACCCAGAACACTGCATTACATGCCACCCAAGCAGCTCTGGCCTCAGAGAGGCCTCACCTTCCCAGTAGTCTTTGGAATGTTGACTGCTGGGGCTGGCAGGCGGTCTCAGGCTGAGGTGAGGGTCAGGCAGTCCGTCCCCTGCCTGGCTGGGAGTCAGAAGTCTGTCTCCTGATGGGCCACACAGACTGCTGCCTCCTTGCCGGGGGTGTGTGGGGGGGGGGGTGTGGAAGGGTGGGCCCATTCAGGCTGGAGTTGCCTCGGAACAGCTCTGTCTGGCAGAGGGAAGGGGAGCAATGGCCTAGAATTCTAGATGCCTTGGGGGTGGAGCCCACTGCCTTTGCTGTTGACTGGCAGTTTGACCTTAGGCAGAAACAGATGGGTCCACGGTACCCATTGGCTTTGTCTCCCACAAGCAGCCTCAATCCCACTGCCCTAATATGTCCATCCTCATAGCTCCTTGAATAACTCAGCCAATCAGCCAAGGCCGTGGTCCTGCCCTATGAAAGGGGTGGGAACTCTGGATTCCAGGAGGCTTCTGTCTCTGTGGGTGGCCTCATATTTCACTGCCACATTAAAGGCACCAGGAAGGAGAATATTATAACCTGGGGCTGCCTGGGGTGGGAAGTCCCTAGCTCGAGGCCCTGGGATGTGGTGGTGTGGGAGACAGATTTATGAGGAGTGGGCACAGCGTTCTTTTCCTGCTGCAGTCAGGGAACAAGCACAAATGGGATCTACCTGTGTCAGAGCAGGGCTCTCTGAGATCCATCAGCCTGTGAAGCCAGCGACCTAGGTAGGTCGCTTCTCTTACTTGAGCCCAGAGCTTGAGGATTCTGCTAGTCCAGCTAGCCAGCTGGGATCCTCCTCCAACCTCCCTGAGTCTGGGATGTAGGCAGGGAACACTGAAGATTTAAATCCTGGGGCAGCAAGTGCTTTGCCCAGTGAGCCATGTCCATGTCCCCAGGAGGCCTTCTTTGCATGGTTCATTTTATAGTGGTGGACCATCTGCTCTGTGCAGAGCATTTAAACATGAAGACCACAGGGCGTACAGTCTCCTAGGAGGGTGTGACACACAGATAGGTAATAACCAGTAGCCATCAGCACAGGGATCCTGCTTGGTTCACAGAGGAGACACTCAGCCCAACATTGGGTGGGAAGCAGGGTGTGTGTGTGTGTGAGAGAGAGAGAGGTGGAGGGGGAGAGGGGAGAGAGAGGAAAGAGAGAGGGGGGAGGGAGATGAAGAGAGGAGAGGGAAGAGAGAGGAGAGAGACTAGTAAGGGCAACCATACCATGCTGGGCAAGCATTGGGACACTACAGGTTAGAACTGGGGTACTGGGGTACTACACATCTTTCTGAGGTGAACATTTTTAAGTATGAAAGAAAAATGAGCAGTAGACACATAGAGGAAGACTTGGTTTTGGGGTGGGGCAGATTTCTGATACCTGCTGTAGACATTTTGGGACCACCTCTGCCTCCTCCTCTGAATAGTGAGGATTTAAATGATCAATTCTAAAGTTGCAAAGAGAATTTACATTAGGACACAGATGCAAAGGCATGGGGGAGGCTGCCAAGACTGTGCCAGCAAGTTGCTTACCAGTGGTTGCTGCTGAAGGGGGGCGGGATGGGTAAGGCTTCACCTTACTGGGAGAGGAAGTAGAAGGGCCCGTAGGTTTTAGAGACAGACCCAGGTCCTGTCTAGCTCCGCTATTTATATCTTGATGCTACCTCAAGCAAACA